GGGAGAACAGGGTCAGTGCTCCTCCCTGCCAGGCAGAGGCATTGGGAGCTGCTCTTCTTGTTCCCTTGTCAAAGCCCAGCTGTCCTCTTGAAGGCTCTCTGGGCCCTGTGCTGGGCTCCACTCCAGTGGGGTGTCCCCAGGGCAGTACTGCCTGCGGTGCTTAGTGAAGTGCGGAGGCTGCTGGTTGTGGTGTGATTGCAGGGTGCCCGGGGGACAGGGTACTCACAGCTCGGTCACGTCCTTGGGCATGCCTTTGGGAAGGGCACGGAGCCCCTTGTTGCTGCATCGCACCACTGTGTCCACGCAGGTGCACTGGTCTGGGCAGCGCGGGCTCAGCTGGCAGCTGCTCTCATCGTTGCCTGTGGAGAGCCCCAGAGAGGGTGAGTGTGGTGGAGGAAGATCCCATGAGGGGTAGCAGGTAGGCCCAGTGTGTGCTCTCAGCAGAGGTCTGCTCTCCCTGCCCCTGCCTTGGGCCAGAACAGAGATTACAGTCCCTGCTGGTCTCACCCTGCTTGGAGGGGAAAGATACATGTCTGGGCTTGTTGCCTGCCTTCCACCACTTTTGAAAAGAGATGTGGACTGCAGTGGGGGGCCAACAAAGACTCAGTTAACCAGAGTAATATACAGGATAGAGATCACTGTTAACTGGAGCAGGAATAAGCAAAAATGACCAAAGGCAAGGTCAGGAGTGGGAGCAGAGCCCCGTCTTTTCCTTTTTGCTTCTCCTGTCCTTCTCCCCTCCCACCCTTCCCCTCCCAGTCTCTCTGGGGGTGTGTTTCCAGATCCCATTATGGCTTAATCTCGGTTAACCTGCAAACCAGTTAACCCATCCCTTGATAATCCAAAATTGATCAAGAAAAGAATGTGCTGACTTGAATTTATGTACATAAATATGCCCTCTGGGATCCTGAGGCCAACACCTCCAATCTCCTTATGTTCATGCCCACTAGCCAATGATAGGATTTTTTTTTTGAAGTATGTTTCCCAGGAGCACATCATGATACAGACAGGAAGACTGAGGCCAGGGCTCCCATGTACAGTTGTATAGGTTGTGCACTGCACAAGGATGCCATCGTCTCTAAAGGGCATCACTTTTACTGTGAACATATTTGGTACAACAGTGTTGTAGTTAGCAGTGTCTTGTAATGAGCAAGTGTCTTGTGTTCATGAACTTAGTATATTATGATAGATTTCTGACTGATATAAATAAATGACTTCAGAAAGGGGCAGCTTTTAACAGCTTGCATAAAAGAGTCCTGTAGGCTGGCATCAGATCTGCAGGGCCCTTTGGAGCTCCAGATGCATGCCTGAGGCAGAGTGGAATCAGATCTCAGAGAGTTCTGCGCTGCAGTGACCACCTGCACCTCTCCTTTCTGGTATTTTCTCCGCCTTCCCAGGGACTATCATCCCAACTCTCCCCCCCGAAACCCTGGGCCTTCTCACCCTCACAGGTGAAGTCCTGGATGGCCACATCTTGGATGGGAATCTCCTTGAGGAAAAACGGTTTCTGGCACCTAGGGTTCCCACTGACGATGCGTCTCTTCCTCAGCCACTTGCCCAGCCAGGCCAGGTGGCAGTTGCAGTTGAAGGGGTTGGACAGGAGGTTTCTGGAAGGAGAGAAGGGCCTCTCTGAGTAGTCAGCCTCTACCTGTCTCTTGGGGGAGTGGCCCTGGGGTCTGCTTCTGCAACCCTAGGGACCAGCTGTCCCAGCGGGGAGGCGGCAGGTAAGGGAACGCAGAACCTTCTCCTGATGTTGTCTCTGAAAGGGTCTCGCTCCAGACCTCCACTGCTGCTGATGGACATGGTCGAGGCTACTTGCCATGCCCTTCCCTATTCACAGAGTTCCAGTGGAGTGAACTATCTTCAGTTTCTTAGCCGAGGTCTACACTGACAGCCTTGACACAGGAAACACGTCTCTGTACACTTGGCCCTGCTGGCTCCTCATTCTTCACTGACCCCTCGGCAAAGAGGCCTTCCCTGAATCCCCGTCCCATCTTCTCCCTCATTCTCTTTCATTTCTTCCCCAGCACCTATCGGTGTGTAATGATTTGTTTCTGTTTAATATTTCGCCTCACACCTTGGACTCTCAGTTCCACAAGGGTAGGCTCAGGTCTGACTGCCTCTGTGTATCCAGAAACGAGCATCACATCATCACAGGCACTTCACACACATCTGCGGAATCCAGTGACTGGGCTGACGGAGGATGAGGGGATGACAGCAACTGTCAGTCACCTCTAGAGTGTTTACTGCAGGCCTGGGACCATGCTAGACACTTTATAAATCCATTATCTCCCACATTCTTGTCACAATAACCCTATGAAGGAGGTAACATTATCCTTGTTTCACGAACGAGGAAAGCCAAGCTTAGGGAGGGTTATTTAGGAGGGTGGGCAGCCCTTGAGGGGCTGTGGTTTGACTCAACAATTAAGAGCTTGGGAATCAGCTGCTCTGGGGTTTGAAACTTGGCTCTGACACTCAGTAGCAGGGTGAAGTTGGGTTACTTACCCCACGTTTTAGGGCTGGTTCCCTTAACGCTTTGTGACTCTGCCCCTCTCTGTAAATTATATATCTTTAGCTTTCTAGTGTGGAGGCTAAAAACAGGCTGAAATGAACCAACGCATTGGTCTGAACTCCTAACCCACTGTCCCTTCCTGCTGATGTCACTTATTCATTCCACTTAATCATTTATTCCGTAATTTTATGCTGGGTGACTTCTTATACTCCTGGCACAGATCTAAGCATTGAAGTCACAGCAGTGAACAATATAGCTGTATGTCTGTTTTTCTGGAACTTATACAATGGGAGGCAAACAATATATTAGTAATGAAGTAAGTACATTATGTAACATACTAGGAGATGGTTAGCACTATGTGAAAATTAGGAGGGCAGAGATAGGAGGGTAGTGGTGATGGCAGAGGATGGCACAGGGGTGAGGTGGGTGACATTTGAGCAGGGGGGAGGGAGGCCAAGAGGAGGGCTCTGCTAGACAGTGCAAAGTTCCAACACGGGAGGGGCCGGGAGTGTGGGAAGACAGGGAGGTGGGCTGTGGAGCTGCAGTGGAGGGAGGGGACGGGCAGGTCACGAGGGGCCAGGTAACATGGGGCCTCTGGGCCTTTCTTTGACTTTGGCTTTTATTCTGAGCACAAAAGGCACATGGCAGAGTGACAGCAGGTAGCAATGGGGGATGTACCACGGCCTTTTTTGTCTGTTTTCAAAGGGTCATTGGGGAAGGGAAGACATGGGACAATGAGGCAGCAACCGAGGATAACAGAACCACACGGAGATGACTTGGAGCAGCTACAAAATTCACATGTTGAGTATTTGCTCTATCTCAGGCCCTTGCTGCCTGCTTGACAAGTGTTACTGGATTCAATCCTCCTGACAATCTTAGCAGGTAGATTACGCAGAAGCCAAAACAGAAGCACAAAGAAACGAAGTAACTTTTCCAAGATCACACAGCTAATCAGAGGTACAGCCACAATTTAAACCTAGCCAATCTGGCTCTGGTGTCTTCACCATTGTTCCACAAAGCTTTCCTTACCCAGACATGAAGTACCTGAGAGCAGCACTCACTTAAGGGCCCAGAAATATAGTTCTATCTGGTTCTGATAGCCACTGGTGACATCTTTTGTAAAACTCCTGTCTATGTCACCATTATTAAGACCATTATAAGATATTAAGACCAAGATGGGCCACAGCAGTCCTGTAGCCTGGCCTGGCTTTCCCTCCAGCTTGCCTTACACCAGATACTCTCTCCTTCAGTGCTATGACCATGCTGGACTGTGCTCAGCCCCACATATGCTATGCTCCAACCCACCACAGGGCCTTTGCATATGCTCTTCCCAATTTCTTCAACAAGCAACTCCTTCAACTTCTTCAACTCCTACTTACCGTCCACATTGTGTCTCCAGTGTTTCTCACCAAAGCCTGTGTTGGGGTTTCTAGTCACTTCCCTATGCTATGAGCCCCAAGAAGGAGGGGCTCTGTGTAGAGCACTTAGATGGTGCCTGGCATGTACAGGGATCCCAACAAATGTTTATTAAGCAGATAGATGTCCTTGCCCAAAGATTGCAGGGAGCTGGGAGGGGAGAGGTCTGTAGAGGAGGACTCCAGAGCAAGTGGGCAGTGGACCTGGGAGAACTTACATGGTAGACAGGGACACAAGCGTGGTGAAGGCTCCAGGGGTGATGGTGGTGATCCGATTGTCATAGAGAGACAGTAGCCTGACTGAACTCAGGCCAGCAAAGGTGTCGTTGCTCACACAGCTGATCAAGTTACTCCTCAGCATCCTATAGGGGATGGGGGGGG